ATAATAATAATGATAATAATAATAATAATAATAGTAATATTATTATTATTATTATCATAATAATAATAATAGTAATAATAATAACAATAATAATAGTGATAATAGTAACATATTGGGAAAAGAAATGTTTTTGGAAAATAAATTAATTACAAAAAACCTTAAGGTTTAAGAAACTTTTGATTTGAAATATGAGATTTAGTCAGCTCCCATTTAACATAACACTTATCAAAATCAATAAATGAAAAGCAGATGACTGTATTATTTAAAGTATAACGACATTTGACACTATTCAGAAGACTAGAAGTTATCAGTTAACAATCAAAGATAAGAGTTCTGCTTATCAAAAATAAATTAAATGAAAAAAAGGATATCCAATCAAAATGTTTCTTTCCTTTTTCCAAGTGTTCTCAAATATTTTCTGACCTGATGACCTTTATATTTGCTAGATTCGAACAAATAAAAGAAAAAAAAATTAAAGTGATTTAGTGTAAAAGATAATAATGCACAAGCAAAAGATAGTAGTGAAATGAAGAGTTCTTGTACTAATAGTTGGAGACTGTCCTCGCTTTGATCGTGGACATATTGGTTTGTAATTTGACAAAGATCGATGAAATTCTTCTGCACCACAAAAAATTCTTCTTTAATAACACTGAATCCTACAAAATATTTACATTTTAATCTTATAATTGAACCTTTTTGGATTGAAATTTAACAAGAAATGTGTCAAAGTTCATAGGTACAATAAATTTACAATGTCAAAGTTTAACTTTATTTAGAGCAAATTAATTATTAGAAGTGGTCTATGAATGAATTTTTAGTCTTTCTGCATACATATCAAAAGTTATGATAAAGAGTGGTTGATGATTAAAAGAAGCATGAATATTATTTCTCAATTATTTCGAAAATTTCTTTAAGACTAATAAAAGTAATTTAGAATGCTTATTTAATTCATTTAATTTAAAAAAGTCATCCAGCTTATTTATTTTAGGAAGATCATCATCTAATTAACAATTTAATAAAGTTAAGAAATTATTATTTTTAATAAATTAAAAAGATTACATAAAGTGACAAGAAAAGAGACATTTTTTTCTTCATTACAAAATATTCGCATTTTAAACAATAAAACCTAATCATTCTTAGACTTAGAGAAATACTAGGCTTATAAAAAACCAATAAAACCTAATCATTCTTAGACTTAGAGAAATACTAGGCTTATAAAAAACCAATAAAACCTAATCATTCTTAGACTTAGAGAAATACTAGGCCTGTAAAAAACTCTTTGTAATATTTGAATTTAGGAAAAAAAAAGCAAAGAATAATCTTTACATTGATATGTTTGAGCCAATTGATGACACAACTACAGTACAATATATTATCCTGAAATCTAATTTGCCATGCTTCGCTTAACAAAGCTTCCGTTTCCAAATGTCGTATATTGTTACGTTCAATAATAATCTCTCCGATATTGACAATTGTTGCAAATGCATGACCCGAAATATTCCCAATTTTGTTATCACTCATTGTTAAGCATCCAATTGTATAAAGACCAGTAAATGCTCCCGTACTGATAGTATCAATGTCATTTGAGATGATATGAATCTATTGAAACAACAAATTATTCTATGTTGAGAAATTTAAAAATGTTAAAAAGATTTGAAAAAGTGAAATATGTGATGAATGAATTTTATTTTAGTAAAAACAAATGAATTTAAGTATTACTTACTTCTCGTACATGTGATAAAGCCGTAAATATACCAGGTGAAATGGAAAAATGCGAACGACTGATTTCAAGCCTGAAAAAAAAACTCTTTTTTTTCCTCCTGAAATTAAACAGAAAAAAAAAAACTTTCAGTCCCAATGGACTAAATGAAATGATCTATTGGATGATATTATTAGATTTCTTCTTCTTAAGAAGATACAAATTTATTATCGTATCTATTTTAGTTGCAACAACACTTTGATAGATATGTTGCATTGAATAATTTGATAATCCTAATTAACTAATTAATCTTTATAAAAATAGTTGAAATTTTCAAGTAGATGAGTTATATACAAGGTAAAAAAGGTAAAAAAGGAAACAAAAACTGATGACATTTTTGTCATATCATAGAATTTGTTCAATTTTTTGATTTATAACAAATGGATACGGTAAAAAGAAAGGAAAAGGAATGAAAAAGAGAATGGGATAGAATGAATATAAGTGATATTTTAATTAATTATAAGGTGAAACTTTTGCACTAATTATTTATTACCTGTGCACTCTGGAAACATTTTCAAATGGTCGTGAACCAAATGAATTCACACCGAATAAATTAAAAAAATCGACTTGCGTAAGGCCAGCAAAAGCATTCGTTTCAATCTTCAGATTTTGACCTTCTAAGGTGAATTCTCTAAGGTGATTTAATTGCCTGCAAACTACAAGAAACATCGAAATAAGCCGATCTTAGGAATGATTATTATTGATTGATCTCATCTGATTAAATATAAAAAACGGAATTAATTAATTATTTATTATTTCCAAACCTATAAAAAATAGAAATTAAAATGATAATGATAGTAATAGCAATAATAATATATAAATATTATACCACCTGAATAAACCCTGTCGTATTCGATTGAAACCGTTATTGACTAATTGAATTCGCAAGCCATGTTTATTGGAAATTTGCGAAAATGCATTCTTCGCAATGTCAGTTAACGACGGATTGTTAGCTAAGCGAAGTAATCTAAGAAAAAAAAAAAATAAAAGAAACCAACCATATTTTATGGGACATCTTGAAGGGACAACATTATTTTCAACAATAGTTGACAAAATTCTCTTGAACTGATGACTTTTATAATTTCAATTTGGATAAAGTTAAGTTGACATGGCAGCATGTCAAATAAATGAACAGTGGATGATATAAATATAATATATAATGCTATAAATTCCAATCATCTAATCTAATTTACATTATTCTTTTGATTACGATACATACGATTACGATACCTGTCTTTTGACTTATTCAAAAAAGCTAAACAATTGTAAGCAATGCTTATTAATTCTGAATAATTCCGTCTTATCATAAATACAGGACCAAATTGTCTATCTCATTTCTAAATGATTTCATTTAGGACATAAATATATGTAGATGACATAATAGCGATTTTGTCACAAAACTTGAAAAAAAAAAAATTAGTTGAGTCTTTTAAATTTTCTCACGAAATTATTTGAATTTCATTTATTATAATAAATTATTTGATAAAATGCAACTAAATAGGAATTGATTGGATTAAAAACAATTTTGTTCAACCAGTTTAAAACTTTTTTTAGACCCTCAAAGAATATTTTTATTTCATTATTTTACCAATCAATTCCAGTATTTGCTAATAAAATTTAACTGAAATATACTAAGTCAGTGAATTTGTTTAAAAAAATAATTAATGAATTTGTTTAAAAAAGTAATTAATGAATTTGTTTAAAAAGAAAAAAAAAAAAAGCAGCCAATTTCTGAAGTGTTCAATGAAATCGTTTGCGAAAAGCAGCGGCACATTTGAAGAATTTAAACAAAATGATAAAAAGTCTTACTTTAAACGATTTAAGCCTTTGAATGCAAATTTTTCAATTGCATGTAACCGATCGCAATTCTCGATAATTATTTCTTTTAGGTCTGTGTACCTCAACCAAATGCATTACTTATTTAATCATATATCAAATTAATTACTTTCATTTTTACAATAACTTATCAGAATATTGATAAACAAATTCAACAAATTTGAATATTTCAATTTCTATGAAATTTTCAGTGAACAATCATACTTATAATATCAAATGAAAAAGTATATCATTGATATTTTAATAAATTGTAGCATATGTTCCAAAACACTGGAAGACTTTTTTTTTTTTTTTAGTAGTAGAAAGTGCTATTATTAGATGGCGTTTTTATTAGATGTTAAAGCAAAAGTCGATAAAATTTTCACTAAATCAAATTATTAACATTTGAGCTTAATTTTTTTTTTTTTTTTTTTGTGCAGCATAAATGACATATTTTTTTTATTTGCCATAAGTTATATTATTAAATTTTAGCATCTGTTAGATTGGTTTTATCACTTTGATAATCAAACTATAAATCACATTTGAGAAGAAGCTTTTGCGGCATTTGTTAGCGGCTAACAAAAACTGAAGACTGTACTTATACACAAACATATAATTTATGAAAGGCGCAATGTGTCTTTGTTCATTTTCTCTTTTCCGCTTTGCCTAACAAATTTTCCTCAGTAGAATTTATCCAAATATTTATTATTCATTTGAAAAAAAAAAAGAAAAAAAGGATGAATTTTGTTACAAATGCATTCATTTGTTTGTGTTGTAAAAGAAAAAGCACATTTTTAAGTAGAAAAAATTTCTTATTTAATTCATTTTTTAAAAAATAAATTTAAATCCTAAATATCAACATTATTGATGCAATTTTATTATGTGATAAGGTTATAATATATGTTAAATAGATCGTATATTTTTTCCCAATATGAAAAATGTTAACAGATTATCGAAGCGATCATTCTAATTATTTTAATTACTACTATTAATGTGGATTGTTTAAATATGAATAGATTTAAGCTAATAAATAATAGCTTTTTGTTAAAGATTTTTAGGTTTTTTTTTTGTTGAAAGATAATGGAATCTAAACTAATATTTCATTTGAAATACCTCTTAAAAGCAGCTTTTTGAATGACTAAAAGGGATGAATTTTTAATACGTAAAACTTGAATTATTCTTTGTAATGTAATGGGTATCCGTTCGAAATTAGCTCCTTCACAATCAACCTGAAAGTTTAACTTTATATCTGAAAATATGGACAAATTTAAAATATCGATTTACAAGTGGAATTCTATTGATTTATTTAAAATATGTAAACATGCTTTACTTATTTAAATATTTTTTTGACCAAAAAAAATAATTCTTGTCAGTTTTAATACTTTTTGCACCAAATTTTATATTAAATTAATATGCTTCTATGTATACTTTTGCAGAAGCAAAAAAGGAATTACAGGTTAATTTTAGTAAAAAAGAATTTAGAAATGGAAATCACTACTGAAATACTCAATTTTGACTTCAGAATTTGAAAGTTTTACAACAACTTCTGAATTTTAACTGTTTAATTTCACTACCATATAAATTCGATATTTTGAGCAAAAAGGATACTAGGTTTTCTTAAAATTGAAATTTGTTTATGAGGACTAGAAGAACAAAATTTGAATAACAGTAATTTTCAGTTTTTATTTTTACTTCTTTCCTCTCTCTCTCTCTCTCTCTTTCTTCTTTTACTAATTTTTACTATATTTACTTTTGCTATTTTGTTCTATTGTATTTTAAGTTAAAAAAAATTT